CGGGCGGTGCCAGACCTTGTGCTGGGACTGTGAGGGGCCGTGCCAGGGGTCTTGGGCTGCTCTCTCTGCAGTGGGGTTCCTGCCTGTCCCGGTGTCTCGCGGGAGCCCACAGCTCAGAAAGGCCTCTTTGTCTACCCCTGGAAGGCTCTCACCGCCTGGAACGGCCCTCAGCTGGGATGAGTGGTCATTCACATCGAGTGCTGAGGCAGCCACGGAGTGGGCAGCCACGTCATGATAAAAAGTGTGAACAATTGCCAAAGGGCCATGTTGTGCTCAAGTGCACTGAGAGAGCGAGCTGAGGACACAGGCGTGGGGATGGTCCCGGGTGCCCCCTGCAGGGTCTGCGGGCTCCCGGTGGCTTCCGTTCCCCTCCGGGGCAGCGCCAACGGTGAAGCAGCTCTGGACCCTGTCGCCGGGGCCTGGGCGCTGGCGGAGGCCATGGAGCAGGGAGGCGAGCCACGTGGAGCATTCTGGAGAGGGCCGTCCCAGGGGCCTGGTGCCGGTGCACGGCTGCCTCCCACACAGCCTGCCAGGGAAGCCTCAGGGGCAGGGCGGTACACACTCCTCTCCTTCGGTTCTCTTTCTCTTCCGTCTGCACACTGTTCACAGCCTCTGGGTGGTCACGGAGAGCCTGGCGGCACCCAGTGAGGCACCGCCTGCAGCCAGGGCCTCCTCTGGGGCACCCTGCGCTCAGCTGGTCACTAGGCATGCTTCTGTGCCCGTGAGCTCTGAGCCGAGCCAGCTTTATCAGATCCGCAGGAATGCTTGTGTTTCCGGGGCCCTCGAGGTTTCTTGTACATGGGGTCTCAGCCAGGACCCCGAGCCTCGGGGTCCCGTCAGTGGTCCCAGTGATATAGTCTGGGGGCTTCAGCACCCACCACTTCCCCTGGACCAGCCCCAGGTGTAAAGATTCGGAGGATGGGGGGGTGTCCCCATGGGAGTGAAGACCAGGGACGCTGAGCAGTAGCCCAGGGAGAGCCCGAGTGACATCCAGAAGCTTCCCTCTGATGCTCCCACCCCCAGGAGCCCTTTCCCCCTGCAGGGCCTGTGGTGTCCGGAGCCTGTTTCTTAATGCAGCTTGCAACACAGCATGTCCCCCACACAGGCTCCCGCACACCCAGAGGGGTTGGTGCTTTGCCTGTAGCGGACGAGGTTAACCTTCCAGCTGCTGGGGCAGGGGGGCTGCCAGGGAGCGCTGAGCAGCAGAGCTCGGAGGGGGCTCCCACCCAGGCCCGCAGGCCTCTGAATCACCGTCCCCCGTTCACATCGGGAATTCTCCAGGGAACTGCACAGGTTCCGAGGACACCCCAGTCCGGTTAGAAAGAACGTTTGGCCTCTTCTGGGTTCCTGGTGGAATCCAGGTGCTGTGGTTGCAGGATGTTTCCCGGGGAGACTGGCTCTCTTCATGCGCCCACAGTCTCCACGGCCTGGGCTCGTCCTGCCCCGCCAACAGCACATGTAGCTGGGGTTGGCCCCCGTCAAGGATGTGCTTACTGAGTTTCCGGAGGCCTGGAGTTGCAGAGTCAGGATGGAGCCCGGGAATGTGCCCGCAGCCTCGGGGGCCTCAGAGCAGGACCAGGGGCAGGTGGGCAGGGAGGAGGGCCCAGCATTTCCCAGAGGGTCCCTGGGAGGCTGGTCAGTACTGCTATGCCCACCACCAGACCAGAGGTTCCCAGTGAGGGGAGCAGAGGAGGGCTCGTGCAGCGCCCAGGGAGGGTGATGAGAGCCAGCGGTATGTGGCCGGGGCTGGCGAAGGGGGTCCTGGGGGAGCTCTGCGTTTCCCTGTGGCCTGTCCAGGTTCCCAGACACATGCATCCTGCTGGCTCCCACCCTGCCCCAGTCTGCCGCCATCCCTGGGCTCCCATCCCAGTGTAAGTGCAGCTTATCCCCAGAGCCTGCTCACACACACACCTGGCCCTGCTCACACACACAACTGGTCCTGCTCACACACACACCAGATCCTGCTCACACACACACCAGATCCTGCTCATACACAACCCTGGTCCTGCCCACACACACACCTGGCCCTGCTCACACACACACCTGGTCCTGCTCACACACACACACCTGGTCCTGCTCACGCACACACCTGGTCCTGCTCACACACACACCAGATCCTGCTCACCACACACCTGGTCCTGCTCACACACACACACCAGATCCTGCTCATACACAACCCTGGTCCTGCCCACACACACACCTGGCCCTGCTCACACACACACCTGGTCCTGCTCACACACACACACCTGGTCCTGCTCACGCACACACCTGGTCCTGCTCACACACACACCAGATCCTGCTCACATACACACCTGGTCCTGCTCACACACACACCAGGCCTTGCTCACGCACACACCTGGCCCTCTTCACACACACACACCTGGCCCTCTTCACACACACACACCTGGCCCTGCTCACACACACACCTGGCCCTGCCTCACACAAACTAGGTCCTGTTCACACACACGCCTGGCGCAGCTCACACACACACCGGGTCCTGTTGCAGGCACATCACTAACAGGGATTTCCAATGCTCTTGGTCAGGGCCCTGTGTGCTGATGCCCATGTGGTGGCTGACAGTGGTTTGTCAGGGTCTGTCCTGTGTCACCTTTTCTGTAACTTTAGCATCAGGTGGTAGTCAAGGCTTAAGGAGATTGCCGGGGAAAATCATTCTGAAATGGAACCCAGTTCATTTTGGAAATAGAGTCCTTGGCATGGTGCTTCTTTTGAGCATAGATGGCTCTGGAGGGTTTTAGGGCCAGGGAGATCCCATGGTGTCTGAGAAACAGGTTTGCCTGGCAGGAGAGGGGGGATAGTCCCTAAGTCTGGTGGACGCTGGGGGGGGGTCAGGCCTCTCCCGTCTGCAGGGGCCCCTCTGGCCCCTCCTCCCACTGCTCTGTAACTCCAGCCTGGCAGGGCCTCTCTCATCCCTTCTTTGAAAATGCAAATTCAGTAACACAGTCTGCCCCACACCTAGTTCCACTCCTGACCCATCCGGCCCAGGGCGGAGGGCTCACACAAGCCCCGCAGTGCACCTGCCCTGGTCCCCTCCCCTCCTGCGCTCTTCTCCAGGGCCCCCTGCCCCTTACGGCTACGCCCACCCTGCTGCCTGGGACCCCTGAGCTGGCCTGTTGGGGGCCTGATGCCGACGATGTGAGGGGCACTTTACAGGAGCCTCCCTTGGCATCTGGCTGCATCTACACCCCACGGATCCAAAAGCTCTGCGCTCACATCCCCCTCCATCTCCATCCCCCCAAATTCATACACAGCCCAGGAAAGCAGGCGGGTGAGATCAAGGAGAGAGACTCCAGGGATTCACGGGGAGTGGGGGGTTGTGGGGTTAGGAACTCCTGGGGTTCCCCCCCCAACCCCCAGCTGCTGGAAATCCTCCCATTGAGGGAGAGGGCAGGGCATTCGGACTGCCAGGTCTATGGGCCAGCCAGAATGATCCCTGGTCACACCTGGTCCCACCTGGTCCCATCTGATGGGCCTCCACTCCCACTGTATGCTGATTTGGCTCTCCTGGGGTGCAGGGCAGGGGAGAGTCAGGCAGGGGGTGCAGGGGTGACGGGGAGGCCCGCGCCTGTAGGGAAGGCCTTCCCGGGTACAGACTGCCGTCCCGGTTTCAGGAGGGCCTCTCTGGACAGCTCCGTATTCCTGTCCAGGAGCTGGAGACCTCAGGTTTTTTAAAACTAATTTTATCATCATTACCTCATTTTAGAAATAGCACACGGATTTATCAAAGGATAGAAAAGAACACACAGGATGGGAGCCCTCCCTCCTCAGCCCCAAGAAGCTCCTGTTTCAGACAAAGAAATGGTGTCAGTGACAACACTGGAGAGGGCTGGCGTCACCCGGCCTTTGTCCCGGGTCCCTGGGAGGGTCCCAGCAGACAGGCATTGCGTGTGGGAGCCTCTCCTCACGCTGGCCGTGCCCTGTCCACACGGGTCCTGACTTTCTCACTGGTGGTTGGACTTCTGTGCTACCATGGAGGAGCGGGGGCAGATGGGGCCGCGGGGGGCCCTTGAGAATATTCAGTCCAGTGGCTGAGCTGCACGGGCATTGCTGACAGTGCGAGTCTGTGTGATCACCGTCCGCATGGCCACCCCCAGCCGCTGGTGCCGGTCCTGGCTTCCTCTGGGCAAGCTGGTGCTGAGTTGAGAACTCAGGTTTGGAGTGGCGAGGGGCTGGGCGGGGCGGCCCCTGTGAACTGTGGACTGGGGCACATGCTTGCTGTCCTGGGCGCTGCTGTCCATCCTGGATTCTGCATGTGCCCAGGGGCTTGTCCCCTCTTGCTGAGCCCCCTGAGGCATGGACGGCCGCCCACAGCTCCTCTGGGAAGCGGCTTCTGGGGACTCAGCTGCACACCCTTGCGGGGCTTGGGCATCTCATCGTCGCTGTCTGGGCCACCAGCTGTGACACAGGGAGGGGGCAGCACAGCCCGGGTGGTCCACAGGGACCCACCCGGCTTGGGGGATCAGGTGCCCCACAAAGGCAGACTCATGGACAGGTCAGGGCAGGCTCCACTAAGGTCCCGATGGGGTGCCTCTCAGGTGGCCTCCCTTTTGCATGTGCGGTCCCCACCCTGGGCACCCCGTGCGCTAGGGCAGCACTGAGGTGGTGGCGAACAGTTCTGGGTCCCCCTCCCCATCCTGTGGTGGGTGCCCTAGGAAGCGTGTCATTCCAGGGAGGACTCAGTGTCATGGTGGCTGGCAGGGGAGTGACAGGAGGGGACCTGAGCCCCACAGGGGGTCGGGCTTTCGTGGAGGGCCTGGACTGTTTGGGGACAGGCCTTGACCCACAACAGGGCAGCTGGCAGGGGCCAGTGCTGGACCGGTGCTGGGAGGAGCAATGCTGTGTCCAGAGCCCTGCAGTGGCCTCCTGGCCGTGGCTCTGCCCCCTTATGAGGGCCCTGCCACGTCCTGGGTGCCCATCCTGCCCTGTGTGCGGCCGGGCAGAAGCGTGGTGACTCCTCTCTCCCCTTCCTCCTCCTCTAGCAACATGGCTGACAGCAAGGCCAAGTCTGCCAAGGCCGCCAACAAGACACCCCCCAAGTCTCCGGGGGACCCCGCAAAGGACCGGGCAGCCAAGAGGCTGTCGCTGGAGACGGAAGGGGCCACAGAGGGGGCGGCTGCCGCGGCCCCGGAGCTCAGCGCCCTGGAGGAGGCCTTCCGGCGGTTCGCGGTGCACGGGGACACCAGGGCCACCGGGAAGGAGATGCACGGCAAGAACTGGTCGAAGCTGTGTAAGGATTGCCAGGTCATCGACGGGAAGAACGTGACCGTCACAGACGTGGACATCGTCTTCAGCAAAATCAAGTAAGTGCCACCCAGGCCTCGTGCTCAAGACCCCCCCACCCCGTGTGGGCTTTGTGGCAAGCGGGCAGTGAGGAGGTGCTCGAGACCCCTCCCTTCTCGGGATAAGCTGTAAGATGCCGGGGTGCCCAGGTCGGGGGCGCTGACCAGGGGCCGCTGCACCAGCCGCAGAGCTCCCACCCGCGGGGGCTGCTCGGGGGGCTGAGTGTGAGGCGGGGAGGGGTGGGCACGTCGCCCTGGGCTCTGGGGGATGGTCATGCTTGAGCGTGGAGGACAGAGCGGTCGGCGTCAGTGTCTCCAGCCGTGGACTCGGTGACTGTGAGCAGTGTGTGCGTGCGCACGTCCTTCGTCCTGGATACGGGGGAGCACGTTAGGCTTCATTACCCCCCCATCTCGCTGGGCGCCTCCGGCCCTGCAAACGTCATGAACACACACCTGAGAAAAGGAACAGTGCCCCCCGGGCTACCTGGCATCTACTGCTTTCCCTCACCTGTCGTGGAAAATAGCTTTCAGAGTATTTCTGGCACGTGTCCATCTCGGTCATGTGTTGCGGCCACCACATGACACCCCTGGCCTCCCTGTTAATGGCTGGGCTCCTCCGTGCACTCAGCAGTGGATGGCTTCCTCCCTCTGCGTCCCCAGCGGCTGTGACTCCATGTCACCGGACACCAGTGTGTCTCCATCCCAGGGAGGTGTCCCTGACCTCCCGGGCCGACCCGAGGCTGAGGGGGACAGCCGTCACCATCGGGCACCGTGGAACCAGCCACATGTCAACTCTCCCCCAGAGCTGGGGTGGAGTAGCCCCATGAGCAGTTCCAAAAAGTCAACTGTTAGGACCCAGCAGTGCCGGGCACTCACCAGGCAGAGGGGACTTGGTCTTTCTGGCCCCAGGGGAAGAGGTAGAACCAGTCAGAATTTACAGTGCAAGCAGGGTCCCCAAGGACACCATAGCTGTGGGACTGGGAATTCTAGCGAAGCCTCCATTCCTGAGGCCCAGGTTCAGAGGGGAAGGGAAAGGTGGGGTGTAGGTGGGGGAGGAGGTGAATGTGGGGTGCAGCTTGGGGAGGAGGTGAAGGTGGGGTGCAGGTGCGGGGAGGAGAAGCTCTGGTTGGTATGGGGCCCAAGGTAGAGGCTTCATCACCGGGACCAGGCTGAGGTCCCGGGAGCCCAGGGGAAGGTGTTCGGCCAACAGTGCCGGCCTGGCTGTCCCTGCCCCTCCATCTGCTGACATCCACCCTGTCCACGGGCAGGTGGGCTCTCCAGACCTCTGGGGTCCCTCTTCAGCAACCTGGTCTGTGCAGACTTTGTGCAGAGGGGAAGGGGTCCCCGAATCTGGACGGCTCTCCAACAGAGGGACCACTCCTCTGATGAGGCGTTCATGTGTTGTCGTCTGGGCCCGAATGTCCAGTCACTGTGTCCCCCCGACGCCCACCTGTGGAGGCTGAGGACACAGCCCGTGGAGGAGTCAGTGTGGACAAATCAGCCCCCATCTGTCCCCGGCTGGGCACTCACGTCTCACCCTCCTCCATGTGTCCTGGGCTTCAGTTTCCACGTGGGGTTCAGCTGTGTGGAGCTTCGCCTCTGGGCTAACCCCTGCCCGTCCCAGCCCTGCTCAGCCCTGCTGGACCCTGACTTATGCTGTCCCCCCTTCTCACAGATGCCCAGCCCACCTGGACCCCACACACCGGGGACATGGGTTCCTAAGCTCTCTTGCCACGCCTCTGGGGCCTCTGCTAGTCCTTCCTCGGCTACAAGCTGCCCCTGAAGATGAAGAGCTGTGTACCGCTCAGCTGGGTCAGCCTGACCCCCAGGGTCACCCCCACAGAGCAGGGGCCACTGGACACGGGAGCTGAGGGGCCAGACCCTGGGAGTCCCTGGTGGGGTGTGGCCTCATGGTCAAGGACATTCCCAGGAGGGGCGGAGACCAGGTGGAGGCTGCATCTCGTCCTTTCCTGTGTCTCCGAGTGGGGGGCTTCAGGATCTTTGGGGACCAGGGAGCCACATGGAGCCTGCCTCTGCCCATCCCCCACAGGGCGCCGGTCTGGCAGCCTGCAGGGACCAGCTCTCTGTGGCCCCCCCGCCCGGGGTCTCCACATTTGCTGTCCCGATGGCCCCGGGCTTGTGACCAAGGGTCCGACTGTGGAGGTGCTCTCGGCGGCGGGCACCAGGCTCCTTCCGGCCTGAGTCCTCAGCGGAGCGGCTTCAGAAGCTCGCCGGGGTGGCAGGCCTGCTGTCCTCGCTAAGAAATGCGAACCAGCTCTGTGTGGGCTTCCCCGTGGACGGTCCAGCAGACCGTCCAGGCTGGCTGCGGCCGTGGTCAGCCAGCCTCGGGCATGTGGTGCTGCCGTTGGCCGACCCCGAGGGCCTGACCAGAGCCTGTGGCTGTGCCGGGAGGGGTCTCGCACCGAGCTCACTCAGTGGAGCCGACGGGCTCCCGCGCACCAGCCAGGACAGGGAAGGAGGGCATCAGCGGGTGGAGCAGAAGGGCTCACACTCCGGGGCGGGGGCGGGGGGCAGCAGGAGCTCCGATGACGCCCCGCAGGGTCTCCCCATTCCCTTTCCTGGGCATGTCCTCCAGGCCTTGACCGCTGGCCTTGGGAAATCCTGTGCATCCAGGAGACACAGACAGACCCAGGAGCGAGGAACCTCAGAGCCGTGTCCATTGGGGAAGGTTCCAGAAGGGCTAGGAAGGAGGCAGGAAGTGGCATGTCCAGGGGCGGGTCACCCCACCCTTGGCGCTGGCCTACACGTCAAACTGCCGGGGACAGGTGATGGCTTTCAATCCTTTCTCCAGGCTGCTGAGGGCAGGCATTTGCACACGTATGTACACATGCACTCAGAGCCCACACACACGTGCACAGCTGCGTGCACACACACTCACAGGTAGAACTCAGGCTCTCCACACCCTTGGTGGTGGGGAGGTGGCTCATTCTGAGGACAGGTGCCCTGGACAGGCCCCAAGACCCTGTGTGCAGGCGGCAGGGGCAGCCCACCACCCAGGCAGAGGGACAGGGGCCTTCTACCCACCTGCAGGGCGCTGGCGTCACTCATGTGAGCACCAGGAAGGGAGCCCCATCTGGTTGCTGCCCCTGTCCCGGCAGGCAGGGCATCAGCTGCTCAGACACTGGGGGCTGAGGCTTGGCCCATGGCTCCTGGGCGCAGCGGGCTCCCTACTGCGGAACACAGGGCTGTTTGGGACCCCCGGCGTCTCCACCTCAGCTCATGTAGGGGGGAGCTGTCTGGTGAGTGGGCAGTGGTGGCCCCAGCCCGGCAAGGGGTCACCGAGCTGCGGCGGCTAAAGGGGTCCCTGCCAGGGAGTGGGTGCAGGGCCCTGGCCCGGACGGGCTTGCTGGTCACCCTGGAGGGTGTGGTGGGGGGGCCCATGCCCTTGTCCCTGAAGGGGAGACCGTGGGGTCCCAAGGGATGGGCTGGAGGACACCAGGAGGCCCCGAGGAGCTGTTAGAAGTGTTTTTATTTGGCCTTGTGAGTAGGGCGGTGTTGGGCGGGGATGTGCACGTCCGGGTCTATGGGGTCTCTGGACACAGTTTTTCAGCAGCCACGGCAGAAGCGCCTTCGCGGCGTGGGAGCCGCGGATGTGGACCCGTCAAGTGGCCGCCCGGTGGAGAGGCGCCCACTCTGTGTTTGCGGGCGGTTGCCATGGCTGCACGGGCGGCGGCGCCAGCCGGGGTATCTGCGGGCTTTGTTTAGGGCCTGTTGCCACGGCAGCGCTTGTTTGTTTTGATGTTACTATGTGTTAAATTTTAAACAAATTTCTTGCAGCTCCACACCAGGTCTTGACTGAACACTATTGTTACCCAGACAAAGGTTTCTGCACCCTCCCCTCCCCGAGGAACAGACAGGGTCGGTCTCAACTATTAATTAATCCAGACTCGGTGTGCGCGGCAGGAATGTCACCCTGACATCCTGACGTGTCCCCAAGACCACGTCCCCTTCCAGCCCGCATGCATGCTCGGGGCCAGACACAGGTGGAGAGGCCAGGCCCGAGGGGGCAGAGCGCGGCGGGCTCTGGCCACGCACACACCTGTTTTCTGGGTGCTGTGTGTTCACAGATGGGCCATGTTTCCTGCAGCCCGCTGTTGGCATCTGAACAGGTTAGGAAGCAGCAGGCTGGCAGGGCTCCCTGGGGCCTGTGGGCCACCGACCCACGTCTCCCCTCTTGCCGCACCGCCCCCGCCCCTCCCCGGCCCCGGCCAGGACACAGTGGGAATGGTCTCAGGCAGGGAGCTGGAATAGCAGACCTGGGCCTTCAGCCTGAGCGTAGACACTCTCCCCCGCCGTCCAGCACCCGCAGGAGATCCCCCAGGACAGCACGATGGTGGGGTGGGGGCGCCCACAGGAGGGGCGGGGGGAGCCGTGACGTCCCAGAGGAGCCGGCCAGCTGGGGCTGCCCCGGGCTTCTCCCCCCAGGCTGGGGGGCATCCAGGTCAGAGGGGTGTCAGAGTGGCCATGTGGCCCAGTCCTTCTCTGTGGGGCCCTCATGGAGCACCTGCGGTGGGCAGCCTGGTGCAACGGCGGACAGGGGTCAAGGCCACACAGAATGGGAATCGGGAAGTTCCTGGCCCGACAGCTCCTCACCAGGTTGATGTGGGTGCTGGGTCCCGGTGCGCGACAGCCTTTTAAGAGGATGACCTTCCCCAAACGCCCAGAAATGGTTTCAGTGACCTCAGTGCATCTGTCCCCACAGCCCAGCCCCTGCCACCACCAGGAGGGCAATTAGGAGTGGACGGGGTGGGGGGGCCCCCGCCCCCGCCCCAGCCCTGCACGAAGCACGCACGAAGTTAGGGGGACACTAGGGTGGCTTTTTCCTACTGGGGGGAAGTAACAGAGTTGGGGCCACAGCTGCCCTTCCAGGCAGGTCAGGGCCTGCACACACCCCTACAGACCCCCAGCATCACGGTGGTCAGAGGCAGTGGGGAGCCCTGGGCAGGAGCGGGGGGGGGCCACTGTGCGCCAGGAGGGTGTGACGGCAGTCGGTGGTCCTCCTCGAGCACCCAGCCCGGGAGCTGCTCCAGGTCACAAGCACAGCGAAGCCCCGCAGGGTTCCCCCCACCCCTGCTGGGAATATCCCAGAGGCCCCTTCCCACTGAGCCCCATCAGGGACTTAGGTGGATTCCCACTGATATCCTGGCAGCGAGGCAGCTGCCTGGACAGGTCATCCAGGGCCCTGGCTGTGCTGGTCAGGGGTGGCAAGGAGAGCCAGCAGCTTTCTCCCACCCCCGGGTGGCAAGTTATCTGTGATGACCCAGCATGCTGGCTGCCACCCCTCAGAGAGGTGCCCCTGGGAGTGCCCTCGATCCTGGTTCACGGAGGTGCTGGGGAGGTGGCGGTGGCCCCATGCTCGATCCTACGGCATTTCAACCCGGAGCCCGGGAGCCTTCCTGGTGTTGGCCCGGGTGGCACACACATACATCTGTCTTTGGAGGGCTGCACTGGTCCCCTGCCTGGCTCCCAGATGCCCCTGGTGTCCCTCAGTGACCTCTGGCACTGACAGGGTCCAGCCCCCTGCCCGCCCGGAGTTAGGTCTGGAGGCCTCGGTGACACGGGGCTTGGGAAGCAAAGTGAAGCCCCAGCTCACAGGGCCTTGTGTGTGACCAGTGACCCCACTACTACTGGGCTGGCTTTCCAGCAGGGCGCTGACCGGCCCGGCCTGGGGTTCACTGTGGGGACACCCTCCAGTTCTGTGAACTCTGGAGAACAGGCTCACTCTGTGTAATGTGACCAGTGTCTATGGGGAAGAGACAGGCATTGTCATTCTAGAACTTGCTGGGGACAAGCTCTCTGCAGCAGGGCGCCGGGTCCCCTAGGGAGAACTCCCTGCTGGGCAGTCGTGGGGACACTTGGGGACACCCAGCCCAGCCAGGTGGAGCGGGCAAGTCAGCCGTAGGCCTGCACGTCCACCAGATCTGAATGTGGCCTCTGACGGGAGCCCCTGTCGGCCATCCCCCCACCCCCAGCCCCAGTGACTCACACTGGTGGCGCCTGGTGCCAGTCACTGGGTTGGCCGTCAGGCCTGGCACCCACATGCTACCCGGGCAGGACGTGAATAGGAGACAGGAGTGCCTTGGATGGCCCAGGACAAACAAACAGGGCCTCGGCCGGGCGGCAGGGCACGCGGAGTCCTCCATGCAGGGCAGCTGCTGTGGGGACCTTGCTGCCTGGCCTGGTTTGCTCGGAGGCTGATTGCTTTGGGAGCAGAACCCACTGCCCACCGCTGGATCTGAGGAAGCCCTGTGTCGGCCGGGTCCCCAGCCCCTGCTGCACAGTCACAGCTGGGACCAATGCCTCAGGACGGACGCGGGGCCGTGCCCTTCCTGACCGTGGGCAGCGTGTCCCGTGTCAAGCGCCTGCGAGCCCCTGTGCGTGCTGTCCGGGCCTGCGCTGCTGAAGGACGCCTGGCTACGCAGTTCATGTGGGGCTCCGGCTGGTTTGTCCCGCATGGAGCCCAGGCATGGGGGGTGGGAGCTGGAAGTGCCAAACAGCCGGGGTGGATGCCCTGTCTGAGCGCCCAGCTGCCCACATCCTCCCGATGCTGGTGCGGTCGCCCCGTCAGTCACTGCAGCCGGCCGCGGGTGTGCCGCGGGCCCTCACGGGGGTCTCATCTGCGTCTGGCTCACAACGTGAGGTGGCTCTTCGCGGGCTCGGTGTTTGCCGCCCAGAGTCTCCCTGGACGAAGTGTCTGGGTCAGAGCTTTTGCTCACGGGCTTCATCCTGGGTTTTCTCTGTTGCTGAGTTTGAAGGGTTGTCCTTTTCAGGTATGTACGTGTTTCCTCCCGGTCTCTGGCTTGTCTTGAAATGAAGGACGTGTTTTTTAAAATTTGGGTGAATTCCAATTCCTTATTTTTTTCTTTTATGGACCGTTATGGTGGTATTTCTAAGAAATCTTTGCCTCACCCAAGGTCACAAAGATTTTCTCTTAGGTATTCTTCCAGAAGTGTACAGTTTCAGGATTTATGATGAGCCCAGGACTAGAAGTTAATTTGTGAGCATGCTGCAAGGCACAGCTCGGGCTAGGTGGTCAGTGGTCTTTCTCTGCTGGACCCCTTTGCTCCTTTGAGGAAGTCCTTGTGTTGGGTGTGTTCCTGTGTCCCTGCGGCTCCCAGCCCCTCAGCCTGTTCTTGGCTGTTCCAGGCCCTCTGCTTGTGGACGGACGTCTACAGAGCCGCCTGCCGGGTGCTGTGGGGCTGTCCCACTCAGGATCCTGTGCTCATAGGGTGTCCCTGCGCCGCGGGGAGCTGCCTCCACAGGACCTCTTGTTGTGAAACACTGACAGCTCGCTGAATGGATCAGCAGGGGAAAGCCACAGTGGCAAAAACGGTTTATAGCTAAAACTATACAAGATGCAGAGCCAGTCCAGCACCCTTCTGAAATCTTGTGAATGGCCCGCAGCGGGGAATGAACAGGGCTGCACCTGGCCCCCGGTGCCCCTCAGGTGGGCAGCCCTGGCCTGGCCCCGAGTGGCTTCCAGGCAGGGGCAGTGGGGGTCCCGGGAGGTGGAGGGCAGGCCCTGGGCCCAGGCCGCTGGGCGTCCTGGGGAGGCAGCCCCCCATCCCTGCGTGATAAGGGGGACGTCGGGCTTTGGTGCTCCCAGGCAGGACTTGGCCTCCGTGTGGTTCAGCCGAAACTCGCTTCTTGCCCTGACTTTTCCTCATGCTCCAAGTGGACGCCACACACACAACCCATTTAGAACCAGACAACAGCTTTGTTTCAGTGTCCAGTTGTTCATAAAGGATGTGGTTCCTTTAAGCTTTTTTCCAAGACAATTTATATTTGCTGCTGTTGCCCATGGCGACCGACTGTTGGGCATAAACAGTGCACACCAGGGCGGGGGAGGGGCACATTCTGTATTTTAACGTTACACTCGATTTCCGCCATGGGAGAGAGGCAGGGTCCCCCGATGTCAGTGTGTCCCTGGATTGGGGGTCCCCCGATGTCACTGGGTCCCTCAATGGGGGGAGTCCCCCGATATCACCGGGTCCCTGGATGGGGGTCCCCTGATGTCACCGGGTCTCTGGATGGGAGGGCTCCCCCGATGTCACCGGGTCCCTGGATGGGGGGGTCCCCCAATGTCACTGGGTCCCCGGGCGGGGGCAGGGGTCCCCCGAGGTCGGCAGGTTCCCGGGGCACTGCTCAGCAGGGCTGTGCCCCGTGGAGGGGAGTGGCCCTGGTCGGCCCTGAGTGCTCTCTCCCTCAGAGGGAAGTCCTGCCGGACCATCACATTCGAGCAGTTCAAGGAGGCACTTGAAGAACTCTCCAAGAAGAGATTCAGAGACAAGAACAGCGAGGAGGCTGTCCGCGAGGTGCACAGGCTCATCGAGGGCAAGGCCCCCATCATCTCGGGGGTGACGGTGAGCATGGCTGGGAGGGACTCCCTGGGGGAGCACAGCCCGTCGGGCCTGGGGTCCGACGGCAGAGGTGTTCATCCCCAGGGGCGGGCTGATGCAGCTGCCCACGGCCTCGGCCCCTGGGGCTCACACGGGCGTGCCCCGCTCTCTCCCGTTGCAGAAAGCCATCTCGTCGCCCACCGTATCTCGGCTCACGGACACGACCAAGTTCACGGGCTCCCACAAGGAACGCTTCGACCCATCAGGCCGGGGGAAGGGCAAGGCAGGCCGTGTGGACCTGGTGGACGAGTCGGGCTATGTGCCAGGCTACAAACACGCAGGCACCTACGACCAGAAGGTGCAGGGGGGCAAGTAGCCAGCCCTGCCAAGGCCTGTACCACCTCACACTTCATTACATTCCTGTGCTCCCTGGTCAGAACTCAAGACTCTGGGGCCCGGGTGGCTGTGGGGGTGACACCCAGGCCTCCTCCTGCCCGGGGGCCAGCGTGCTTCTGACCCCCAGGTGGGGCCCCTGAACTCACTGACCTTTGTAACACACCTGCCTCCTCCAGTGCTGGCCATCGACAAATGGCCTTTTCCAAAGTGTCTCCCGGGACCAGACCACACTAGCCACCTGACTTACAGGCCAAAGGGCCATTGTACAGGAGCCGGTGGGCCCCGGGGGTGAGTGGGACAGACCCCGTCAGAGGTGGTGCCGACCTCCTGACCTACAGACCCCTCCCAGGAGCCTCGAGGGCAACAAGAGCTAACTAACAGCAGCACCAAGAAAACGAAGTGAGCCCCAAACAGGACACCGTGCAGGTGTGGGGAGGTGGGACACGTGCTTGTACGTGCGCAGACGCACACACGCTTGCAAACGCTCACGCACACGCTTGCACACACACACACACACCTGTACACACGTCGCAGAACCAGAGGCTGGTGAGCAAGGGAGGAAGGTGAGCCGGTGAAAGGCTCCTCTGTGGACCAAAGGAACACGGTTTGAAGTGCGAAGCCCGAGGGTGTCAAAATGGAAACTGAGGACGATTCATTTCACTGTGCTTTTCTAAGAAGAAATAAGAAATGTGTTTATTCTCAGAATGGGTCAGGGAAGATTGGGAATACCCTGTTTCTACCCCTTTCTCTCCTGCTGTCCGTGTCTCCGGGTCAGGAGACCCTGCTGGCTGAGGCTTCCCACGCAGGTGCTTTGCTGGCAGGACTGGGCATCTTCTTCCCGGGGGCCCTGCCCCGCACTTGGGGCCTCAGGACTGTGGCTCCACGTGGCTGCTCCCTCTTCGCTAGCACACGGCACAAACCTCAGTGGTTCAGTCTCCACAGTGAGTTGTCCCCAACCTCTGCCAACCCCTGCGAGTGCAGAAAACCACACAACAGCCAGGCCAGTGGAGGGCCCTGAGGCCCACAGCATTTGCCGGCACTTGGTTTCTCCCTGAGGCTGGACAGGGGGCAGAGGCCTGGGGCTCCTGTCATGGTGGCCCCAAGGGGACATGTCCCTTTGCACGAGTGCAGCCAAGCCTGGCGAGTGACTGATGGGGCTGTGCAGTCCTGGCACCGGTCCTGGGAAAAGCCCACGGCAGCCTCCAGAAGATTCTTCCTGGAGCCCGTCCACCCTGCCGCTGTTGTGTGTCCAGCGCAGCTGGCTGAAATAAAGACGAGCACCGTGGCGGCACAGGCACCTGCATCCCTGAGCCCAAAGGGCACGATGGTCATTGCTGGAGTGGGGACGCCCCCCCACCCTCCCGCGCAGAGGAGTTTGGGACTTGTGCTCCCATCCGGCACGGCCCCTGCGAAGCGACAGTGTCTCCACCAGGCTCCTCACGGGCTTCCCCTCACAACCCACCTGCGGTTGGCGGTAGCCTCGCCAGCAGCTTGCTTCCGAGGATCTGGGACTTGCCAGTGCGTTCAGATGGGGGAAATGACGGACTGCAGGCTTTGAGTCACTTGTAGGACACGGTCTCACCGCTGTCCCCACTTCCTACCTTGGGGATCCTGAGCTGCCTGGCCAGGCCTCCACCCCAGGCAGGAAAGGCAGGAAAACAGAGGACCGAGTGCTGGGGAGGGAGAAGCAGGCAAGACACGGACCCCCGCCCTGTGTCCCTCCATCCTCCCCCAGGCTGGACCCTTGTGACAACCCAGAGGCAAGAGGAGACCGTGGGAAATGCATCTGAAGGCAACTCTGAACGCGACACGTGTTTCTCGACAACAAGCGGATCACAAACCAGAAAACTGTGTCCAAAGCCGAAGAGTTTTTTCTTAGTGGTCATGGGACAGGCCTCCCCTCCAGACCCCGTGAGGCACTGTGCTGGGGAGCACCAACCACCAGAGGCGCGGGGCTCCTCCGCCTGCCCATTAACAGCTGGGTCCCCACTGTCACAGCTGATGACAAAGCACGGATGCTGGAATCCAGCAGGACCTCAGCCCCCACAGTACACATGCCTGGCGGTGAGCAAAGGGATGGGGGGGTCCCCGTGCCACTGCCTGTAGATGAAATGGATGTCCCCCTGGCTCTTCTCAGCCCCCCTCACCCCCAGGAGTCTGTCTCCTGTCCCAGAGCGGGGTCTCCAGGCACAACACCCTGGGAGACTGGGGTCTAAACAAGGGAAACCACACAGCTGCCCCCCCTCCCCGGGACCCTGCCACAGCACCCTCCCCACAGCGGGAGCCCCCATTTTACACAAGAAACCAGCGCCACAGCCTACGGAGCCCAGCGGCTCGACAGGAAACCAACGGCTCACTTCTGACGAACGTTCCCAAATGCGTTCCTGAATCTTCTAACAGCACCTTCCTTTGGGCTTGAGTGAGAACCAGGTGCACACAGCGGGCCCCCCTTGGTGGCCACCCCATCCCACAGCACGGAGGTCTGGTTGGCCACACAGGCGCTGTGGTCTCCACCGCTCCCCCTGCCTGTCCTGACCCCGAGGCCTCCTCAGACGGCATCCCCCGCTCCCTCCCCCGTCAGAGCCTCCCCTCTGTCAGGAAGGAGGGAGAGGTAGCAAAGTCATGAGGCTTCAGTGATCGCCATTCTGTCGGCTTGAAATCATCTGCTCAATCCATCCCTGCACCGGGGTGTAGCCGTTGCACACAGAACACGTGCTTGGGCCGCACTGCGCACACACGCATGCTCCTCCGTTAGGGTCTGAGTAGTGAGAACACACAGGCAGGGCGTGTGTCGTTGCCGCATGTTTTTATGCTTCTACTAACCGTGGTTCACTAGAAACCCAACGTCTATCTGTGAATAAGCGAAACTGCACAGCACGCAGGAGACAGGACACGTTCTGTCAGGGAGGGCAGGGCTGACGGCATCTGAGCATCAGGAGGCAACTGGAGGAGGGCGTTCAACGCCGATCATACCAGAATACTTATTTATTTCTATTTAACAGAATAGGATAGGCAACGAGGCAGTGGTCAGTAACACAGTTAGCTTTACCAAAATAAAGTTCAAATCACGTAAGTTTAGAATGCTGTAGCAAAAGGTATATATTTATACTGGAGTATTTTTACACCTCTAATATCCTCAGTCCTAAGTTTGAGGCAGATGGAAATCGTATCAGGTGCAAGAAGCCGGGGGGCAGGGACACAGAGATGGCTCGCTGACACCACGTCCCGTCTGTACTGCTCCGTCTCCACGTCCCCATGGTCGGAGCTCAGCACAGGCCACGGGCGTCCCTCTGCGCGGTGGACAGGGGCTGTGGCAGTGGGCAGAGGCTCGTGCCCCCACCCCAGGCGGCTTCTGTGAATGGTTTTATAGCCCCCGGCCACCCCGCTGTGCTCAGGCACCGTCTGTGCTGCTTCTGCACCCCATCAAGTGGTGGGGAGGAAACCTAACATTTTCACCATCTGGCCCTTGATGGGGAAGGCGTGTGCTGGCCCTGCCCTGCAGCCCAGGCCACATAGGACCCCGTTGTCACCTGTCCCGTGCAGGCCAGGTTGACAATTCAGCTGTACTGTGAAGTTACCAATAGGCTAGAATGTCCTTAAAACACTGACCCTGAGTAGCTCCCCACCACTGATTTACTACTGAACACTTGGTGGAACTGGGCGGTTCAGGGTGCGGCCCGTGTCCACGGGCGTATGGAGTGCATGGCCCCAGGTGGGGCTGGGCAGTGGTTACCCTGACCTTTGAGATGCTTCCTCCCTTTAGACTCTTGAAAAACCGAACCAAGCCAAACAACAAAGGAAACCCGCACAACTTAAACTTGAAAGGGATCGTATACTACTAGTTTGTACTAAGTTTTTTTCAGGAAAGGGAAATAAATTTATATATATATGCAATATATTTTTACACTGTTTTGTTACCATTAGGGAGCTCTGAGTGTATCACTTTATCAGTGTATTGGTAAAGTAGCGTCGGCGTCTTGGGTGTTCTGACTCAGAAAGGCACATCTGCGGGCATCTAAGAGCTGCACTCACCAGGAACGTCTATGGGATTGGGGTGGCCCTCCCCAGACCTGTCAGAGCTGCTGTCAAGGCCTGGCTTGCAAACCTTTAGTGAAACAGCTCATGTCTGTCTGCATATTTCTCCTCCTGTGTTCGCTGTTGTTAACATTGTGTGTCAAATTGGTAAAGTGATAAATAAAGGTGTTGAAATGTGGATCTCTGTTGCCCTCAAGGTGCAGTCACACACGGGGCCCTGACATTTAACCCAGACAGGCCCTGGGAGGGGTCTACTCCAGCACTGGTGCAGCCTCAGGGTGGGGCCCGGACCCAGGAGGCTGGACATAAAGTAGTTACACACACCTGCAGCAGCCACAGAGGCAGGAATGAGGTCCTCCGAGAAGTTCCAACCTGAAACCCTAGGCCAGTGAAATAGTTTTCAAAAAGGAAGATAAAGGCATTCTAAGACCGTAACAGGGGAATCTCCACCAGTAGACATTAAAAGAAATTCTAAGTGCAGAAGGAACATGACCACAGATGGAATGTCTGGAGGGAAGTGGCGCAAAGAATAAACAGTAAATACAGATAAACAGTGTAAGTAAGTGCTTTCTGTGGGAATAAAGATTTCACTGGAACACTGGAAGACCATCCCATGTAAGCCAGAAGGGGTGCCCAGGGAGCTACGCGCTCCTGGATGCCACTGGGGGAGAGCAGAGGTCGTGACCCGATGGGCACCCGCTCGCTGTGATAATGCACCAGAAAGAGCGCATGGCTTCCAGATCCATGGAGGTGAGCATGGTGAAAAAAAAAAGCGGTGTTTTAAAGCCAAATGTGTCCATAATTTCAGCTGAAGATGCAAAGGGACAGAGCTGCAGTGCAGGAAAGGAAGGAGGAGAACACAAGAATGAGCAGCAGGGACACCGGCCGGGGGGCAGGGCAGCCTCTAGGAAGCAGGAAGGATGCTGGAGCGGGACGCACAGCGGG